TAAGACTAAAAATATGTATTTAATGTCGAATCTTTAATTCACCCAAAAAGTGAAAAATTGAATCATGAAACTCACATTGTAAATAATTAGCCAAAAAGAAATTTGTATTAAAAAGCCTGATCTCACCTGCAAGTTTTAGCCCACTTTTGTGTCTACTGCTCTGCTTCTTTCTCGCACTCTGTGTCTATGAGATAAAACCAAATTACGCACAAACAAAATGTAAGTCAATCAGGCATCAAAGGTCCTTGATCTCATCAAAGTGGAAACTGCAAACCGTCCAGTGCATCGCAACGAGCCCACCGCCAATCGCCAATCGCCAATTAACATTGACGGTCGCCAATTGAGGCTTTTAATTATGCAATAAGGGTTACGCGGTCGAGTCCTGGGACAGGACAGCGCATTGAACTTTGCAGCTGCCCGACTTTAGATAGAGTCGAAAACCAATTGGAAGGAAAAAGCAAAGTATTCGGAATTTAAGTTTAAAGCTCAAGTTGTCTTTTTAATGAGGCACTTATAAATACATGTATAAATAATACTAGATATAATAATATTAACTATAGCTATATGCAAACATATATACAAAGAATAATGGAACTCTAACCCTCTAATATGAGCGCCGATGCTTGTCCTTGTTGCTGGGCTTCTTCGAGGAGATGAGTGTGCGGCGTTTCAAACGCTTCAGCTTCGTCTTCTCACGCTTGCGCATCTTCTCCTGGGCCACCTCGACAATGGTGTTGCGGAGCTTTAGTCTGTATTTGATGAGGTGGTTCAGCTCAATGTCCAATCCCTGGTCCATGGGCGACAGGTTCTCAGCATTCTCGACATCATCCTCGTCGTCCGTTAACATGGCCAATTGGCGTTCCGCCCACGCAGCATCGTCGTCCTCATCGATGCTCAGGTCTGGCATGTCGAGCTGCTTTTTGTGTTGTTGTTGTTGTTGCTGCTGCTGCTGCTGTTGCGGCAGATCCTGTTGCTTCAGCAGCTCCTCGGTGAGCAGCAGCTTCGATGTGGCCCACTTGACCACCTGGTGATCCTTGAGCGCCATTTGCTGGCGATAGTTAAACAACTGCAAGGTGACATTTGCCCTGGGACACGCCTCCGCCTCGTCCCTGGGAGACGCCGGCTCCTCCGCTGGCATGGGTTGGACCACAGCCACCGGCCTCTCGCAGGACATTTTCGTTTCCAGTACGTTGCCCATGCTGCGCGCTATCTTATATGATGATCTTTGTACGTCGCCAGCTCAAATGCCACTGACAGCTGCAAACTTGTCAAAGCCGATTTATATCAAATATTTATTCGATATGGGCTGCAAAAAGGATTAGAAACGTAGGCAGGTACAATGGGTAGACGCGAGCTACCTAGGCCCTGCAGTCACGACATTTGGCAACACCTGGTCAGGGATTAGCGCACGCTGGTTAGCAAAAATACCCGAAATATGCGAAAAACTAACTTTCTTATAGACCAGGCCTATTTTATTGCTAATAGGGTATATTGCTATCCACGTGCATATCTCTATAAATTTCTCAATTATGACATATTTCTTATAAATTTACTTAATACTCATACACCTAAGACGAGAGATGGAATACAGACACAGGTGGAATACCAATCTGATTTTATAATACAAATTTAATAGCAAGCTTCACAAATAAGATGTAAAATCAACATTTGTTAGCAAAAATTATTATTTCTTTTAAGGAAAGCAAATGTTTACCAAAAATCGTACCAAAACTAATTTATACCAACCTAACCTCAATCATTTTTCTAACAGGCCACTTAAATCAACCGCAGGTGTTACAATATATATATAGACTACCTATTTACAATTATTACAATTCAAATTTTACAACATCTTTTACAGATCTTCAGTGTTTATACAAATTATGTAAGCCAGCCCTTAAAATTTCTACCTAACCTACAAACTATAAACATGACACAAGTTAGGTAAACCCCAGAACATTAACTAAACAACTGTAAACTTACTTTTCCAAAAATATTAGTTCCTTAAACTCGATTGCGTATACCTGTCCAACAAGTTAAGACACGCAAGATTTTGTGGGCTGTGGATATTACCCATTGGCCAGGTCAATTCTACCTGCTGAATATATAAGGTGCTTAACAATTGGCGAGCCACAGCATTCGCTTCTCAACTCCTGTTGGCCATGGACCGCAAGACGACGACACCATTGATGATGTTTCGCACTCCGGTGGGTGGTGAGAATCAGTTGTTCATCTTCAATTCGCCCATTGACTACACGGATCAGCAGCTGATTGTGTATCAGTGTTCGGGGATGCTGGAGGGCGAGAGTGGGTATTGTGTGGTCTATAAGCGGGATCATTACATAATCAGCAATCATCCCAACTATCAGAGCCCGACCAAGCGCAGCTTCCTCAACGAGTGCATCCGGCAGCTGTACATCATCAATGGGCTGGTGCACAAGCTGAACTGGGCGCCCAACACCTTGGTCTGCACTCAGCAGGAGCTGTGGCATCAGGTGAACATGTGCCTGCAGCCGGAGCGCTTGAGTGCGCGAAATGCCAGCCTCCAGCGTGTCAAGCGGCAGCTGTTCCGCGAGACGCAGCGCAAGCGCAAGGCGACGAGCAGCGTGCGTGGCCAGGTGTGGGGCACTCAGGTGTTCAACTTCAAGCCGATGCGCTCGAGGATCGGCAGGCGACACATACGACGCGGCTACTTGACGGTGGCCCGGCAAATCGTTCTCCAGCAGCTGATCCGTGAGAACGTGAAGCGTGAGATGACCGGCACATCGGCCATATGCCAGACGATCATCAATGCCACCGAGGGCATCTACAACGTGAACGCGACAGTCATCAGCGACATCTGCCGCTACCACCAGAACGCTGCACGTCATCAGCCCACGGTCCAGCGGCGGCTGAACGAGGGACAGCAGCGCATGCGCAGCAGCGAGGCCTGCCAGCTGACGCAGCGCGCCAAGCGCCTGGAGGCCATGTTCCTGCACGAGCAAGTGCGTCGCGCTGGCCAGAATCATCAGCTCATACTGGAGGAGTCGGTGCGTTCCATTTACTATGCCAAGCAGCTGTTTCGCCTGATCGAGGATCACGAGGAGTTCGTCTACACGGACAAACAGATCTTGGGCCGCAGCTGTTGTTAAGTTGAGTTTCAAATTCTTTTTAGTATTGTATAAAAATATATAGACAATGTCTTTTATTATAAGCAGTAGCGTAAATAGTAAATAGAACAAATAAAATGCATTAGAAACGTAAAACAAATTCGATTTGTTGTTATAGTTGTTGTTGTTGATAGATTGCAGGTTGAATGAGCTGCTCTACGGCTAGGTTTCCGTCTTTCGCTGTTCTATCAGCTGCGAGTGAACGTCCATCAGGCTCTGTAAAAGAAAATTTAAAATACTTAATATACATCCATGAAAATATATTTCATTATAAAATGTAGTCTATGGTGCAACTGTGATTCCTAATTGTATAAATCTATAGTACATATCTGATATTTATAAACAATGACATATTCAGTAGATCTTGACTTCTTAGAAAATTCTCTCAAAAGCTAAAATAACTCATAAATATTTTTATCACTTACTTAATAATCGAACTTCGATTTCAATTTTTAATTAATATTATTAATATTTTTGTCTCTTTCCTTAAAATAAACTAACTAAATTTCTCGTTATATTTTTAGCTCAAAATTTGTAATGTGAGCCGAACTTTTATACATATATCATTCATTATTAACAATATTCAGCCTTAACAATATCTCAGTTTTAAGTTAAACATACTTATATCTTCAATATTTATATTTAAGTTATCCTATCATAATTCCGCATCGATATATAGCTTCACAAAAGTTCCTGAATATTCCCAGAAATTACTTTTAAATTCTAGATTTTTGCATTTTAGCTCAGCAATTTAGTTGCTTTAATGATAATTCTGGGTCATCTAATAATAAATAAACTTTCTTCGCATTTAAACTAATAATTAAGATTTTCTCAAGCATTTTTGATTGCTTATATACTTATAGTTTTTAATTTCAATTTAATTTCAAAAACATAAAAATTTCAATTCCTTTTTAGTATATTACTTAAATTAAGTACAATCTTTATATATATAATACAATAAATGATACTAGGGACAATTATATACAATTTTGCTTTGGTAATCGCCAGTCTCTTAAATCGTTCATTTATTATCAAATACATTAACATTATAATATCATAAAAGCACAATCATTATGGACTATACTTTACATTTTGTGTAAGCTTCCGGGGAGTCGACTGCATTTGCATCTCTGAGAATGCCCTGTGAAATGGTGAGAAAACAAATGCCAACCAGACATTAGCGGAATCTACGTTCCGGAGTCATAAAACTTAGCAAACCCGGTATTAAGGAAAAGCAAAAGCAACTACGTGGTTAATATGCACCAATTGACTTGAGTCTAAACAAAACCAACACCTTGACACGCCATATCCATTATCACTACAATTGCACGTGCGCCGCGCATACCTTGAAATATTTAACCGTCTTGACACGCAGCTCCAGAGTGGCATCCTCATCGCAGATCATCAAGGTGTTCGCATGCTGCTGGAAGGCGCTGACCGTCCACATGTGATTGACGCCCTCCTCGATGGCCTTGTACAAGGCGAATGCTTTGTGTGCGCCTGTTATCAGAATCATCACCTCTTTCGAGTCCATGACCGTGCCCACGCCCACAGTCAACGCCTGCTTGGGCACTTTGCTCATGTCGTTGTCAAAGAAACGGGCGTTCGCTTCCAGCGTATCCTGCGCCAGGGTCTTGACACGCGTGCGCGACACCAACGAGGAGCCCGGCTCATTGAAGGCAATGTGTCCATCGGGTCCGATGCCGCCAATGAATAGCTCCACACCGCCCGCTTCCTTAATCTGCTGCTCGAACAAATTGCATTCGGCGACCAAATCCTTAGCATTGCCATCCAGAATGTGAACATTCGCCGGCTCAATGTCAATGTGCTTGAAGAAATTGTGCCACATGAAATAGTGATAGCTCTCGGGATGATCACGCGGCAGGCCTAAAAAGTACTTTTGGCTTTAGGTATACTCCCAGGTATATGATGGGTGAGAATCACAGCCACTCACCCACATACTCATCCATATTGAAGGTTTTCACATAACGAAAGGAGACCTTGCCCTGCTTATGGAACTCAATCAGTTCTTTGTACATCCCCAATGGGGTGCTACCTGTGGGCAAGCCCAAAACAAAGTATCTAAAGAGGGAGAGGTAAAGAAAGAGAGAGAGAGATGATAAGAGTCTGTTGATAAAACTTCTCCACTTACTTATCGGGTCCCGGATTGAAGTCGTGGATCCGCTTTGCCACATATTTGGCTGCCCAACTGCCCACCGATTTGCTCGTCTCCAAGATAATTAAGCGCATTCTTAATATTTAGTACTGAAAATGTGAAGTGTGTACTTGTAAACTTATGGTTTGTGTGGGGCATTATAGAATATATTGATAAGGACTGATTAGATCTAGCCTACATATTAATTATTAATAAGCAAGTACTTAATATGGTACCCATAGATTAAAAATTACAGTGTGTATTCAACAAGATGAATAGTCATTATTAAATTATAATCACGTATATATATATTTATTTGTTTTACACTTGAAATTAAATGATTTCGTGCTACATCTGACGTAATTTGTGAACTATACACTTTTACGTTAACTTTTGACAAACAAAGTTTCTCTTAATCGTTACGTTTCACTGCAAGTTACTCTTATTTAAGCACAGATCAATGAAAAAATTAATTACGCCCTCTAGCAATAGTTTAACTTATCGAGCGCTCACTGTAGTCAAACACTTTCGTTCTTAATTTCTAAAGAGCGAGTGAGACAGAGACATTCGCACTTGAATTCCAATGGGGACACTTGAGGGTCGACAAGCAGCTCACCTCCGTTCACCTGCACTGTGTTACCGTAAATAACTTTTTAAAACATAAACTTAACGTCGTATAATAATAAATAATAAAGTCACACAATAGCAATCGCAGCGATAGCGCTCAGCTCTGGTCTGATGTGGAGCGTACGAATCGCCGACGAGACTGGCAAACAAGCTGTGGGCACCGCTTCAATTTAGCTGTCAATTTATATACAATACACATATTGTGTGAAACGCGCTCTTAGTAGTAAAGAGAAAACGGTTAGCTGCAATTCAAACCGCATAACCTTGAGATACAGTTTGCAAAAGGCGTTATCACGTTTAAAAACAAAACTCCAAGGGGTGCAACGCAGTGATCCGCGGCTATCAACTGCAGCGTCACTTTAGCAGCAGCCGCAATTGCCAACTAAAAGAAAAGAGACAAAAATACTCCAAAACGATAGCGTTTAATACGCAGCAACAACAGTTGAATGAACTTGCTGCTGTCAAAGTGAGTGTAAATTTGTGAGCGGGAGAGTTGTTCATTTTGAGTGGCTTAACATACTGGTGTTGCCAGACTGTTCGCATAATTGAGTGTGTTTTACGATGCCATGCATACATTCAAATGCCTAAAAATAACTCAACATAGAATAAGCGGCGAGAAATATTAGAAAATAACTCAACATAGAATAAGCGGGGAGAAATATTAGAAAATATGCTCTACAACAGGGCTGATTAATTTTCAGCAGCAGCTTGAAATTATTCGCTATGAGTGCAAAACACTATTTTATGAAACATAATTATTTATTTAGCAGTTACATGTAGTCTTAAGTTTAAAATTTAAATTTTAGTTTTCTTTTCATTTCTTTGCTTTAGAATATGTTGTAGTTTGACATGGACACACCCACGTTGAGCTGCTTCTTTCTTGTTGCAGGAAAAACCGGTTCAGCCGAAAATCTATGATAAAAAAAAAAAAAAACATTCCATTGAGCACCTATGAGAGAGCGCACCAATCAAATTCCAACTCGTTTTAAAAATATATTGCTAGGCTCTTTTCTCACACAGCTATTTTTGCGTTTTTTTTCTTTTCCTTTTTAAAATTTTTAGAATTATATTTCTCAATACAAAAAGTTGCTTAACATAAGATACACACATGCATATGCATGTGCATGTACTTGTGTGTGCGGAGGAGAAAGGCGAGAGGGAAGCTCAAATTTGTAGTTACAGTTTAGTTTTACCGATTTTTATTGATATTTCGTTGAATTACTTTTAACATGAGCTTGTCGTTTTTGTTTGTTTTTAATTCTGCTTATAAAACTATATATATATTTATATGTATGTATATTTATTTCTATTTATATGCTGGAGCCGTGGCTCATACAAATGCATCGGAAATGCTGTCAACTCAGCATTCGCAAAGCACTTGAATGCACAAATACAAAAATGATAAGAATTGAAAATTTCTTGAAATTTTTTTCTTTGTAAATTCTATGTGGCATACAGAAAACCGAATTTAAAATATACCAAATAAAGTTTACAAAAATTATGCTTATTGTTTAAAATTAAGATTGTACGAAGGTGGGGTGGGGTTGGTTGGAATTTGTTCTCTTTTTTCCGAAACATGTAACGTAAATTAAATATTTGTCATTCAGATAAACACAAAGGGGATTAGTAATCAGGAAAGAATGAATGTGGTAGTGGTAAAGCACAGAAACTAAATAATATATTGAACATGTGGAAGAATCGTAGACATTTAAATTGAAATGGAACTGCTGTAGCTAGCAAGTTTTACAATTGAATGAATTATTAAAGGTGCTGCTTGGCTCTGGTTTCGCTCGCCTTTTTCTTCCCTCTCTTTACTTCGGGTAGCCACAGAAAAATTAATAACTTAGCTGATAATATATAATTCCGTCTGTTTTTTGTTTTTGTCTGTTTCTGTTTGTTTGTTGRTTTGTTTGTTTGTGTGTGCTTGTCTGTCTGTGTCTGCATATGTGTGAATATATTATTATCTTTATGCTTGGCTGGCTATTACATAATCGCGCACTTCTCGTTCGTCTGTAGGGGATCGCCCTGCTGATGGTACAGCTGCTCGTTGCCATCAACGGCGCTGATGCTGCGACGGCGACTGAGGCGCGAGGATGACACATGTGTGGAGACAATACGCTTGTTGCGTTCCATATTGGCAACCGTTTCGCCTTCGCTATTCAACAGCGCCATCTTCGTATTATCGCCAGTCATCCACTTTTGTTGCTTCATCACTATGTTCGATGGCGGCTCGTGCGTGGCACGCGAATCCGACGACCAAACGGTCACTGTGCCATTTGGCTCGATTTTCACGGAACGATGGAACTTGTAGGTTGTCACTGGTCCATTATCGTTAAGCGACCGCTGCAGCTGCCAGCCGCCAATGGAGACCTCTTCGGTGCCCTTGTTGTACAGCTTAACGTATTTGCCATCGGCGTCGATCTCTTTGATTTCCACATTGCCCTTAGCACTAGCCGACACATAAAAATCGGATACGCTATGATCCTCAGACTCCTCAACAGCGGCACGTTTGCGCTTCAAGCCGCCCGACGGTGTGCGCCGAGAGGGCGTGGCACGAGAGCTACGCAACGATTGGCTGAATGATTGCACCGTAGCCGAATTCGCGGGCGTTATATTTAAACGTGCCTCCTCACCCACGAGCAGCTTGTCGTAGGCGGCGATTTCCAAGTCCAAAGAGACCTAGAATAAAGCAAAATAGGTATCAGTCGAGAGAGTTGATTGAATTGTATATATATATATCTACCTTGATGTCCATTAAATCCTGATATTCCTGCAATTGTTGTGCCATCTCCTCGCGTAAGCGATTCAGTTCCTTATCGTACATTGCAATGTCATTTGCATGGCGTTCGCGCTCATGGTCCAGCTGCTGTTCCAGCTCCCGTATGCGCGTGTTCAACATGGCATTGGCCGCCTCCATATCATTGAGCTTGGCATTAAGTCCATCGATACGAATGCGTGAATTGCGCAGCTCCTCTATTGACTTGTGCGTCGAGCTGTGCGTGCGAGCCGCCGCTTCTTGTAATGAACGTATCTTGGCCTCATACAAGGCCTCGATATCATCGCGATTGCAGCGCATTTGATCCTCATACTGGTTGCGCAGCTCTTGCAGCGATTGCTGCAACTTCGCCTCATACTCGGACGAGAGACGGCCATCGATTTCACTGTATTCAGTTTGGCGTATGCGACGCGACTCGTTAATCTCCTGAACGTGCACCTGATCCTTAAGCGACAGCTCTTCACGCAAACTTTGTATATTGTTCTCCAGATCCACACGCGCCAGAGTCTCCTGTTCAAGATTCTTGCGCGAGTCCTCAAGCTGCTTGCGTTGACGATCCAGTTCCTTGAGAGCTTCGTTCAGGTCATCAATGGCTTTCTTCCGATCGGCATTGGCCTGGTTATATTTATTACTCAGCTCACTGGCACGCGACTCGTTCATTCGGGCATTAGCTAAAATGACATTCAATCAATTAATGGAGGGTTGATTATTGTGATTGATGTGAACTCACCCTCAGCAGCGCTGCATTCCTTCGTCTTCCTGTCTAGACGGGCAGTCAACTCTTCGTTCTCCTCCCACAGCCTCTTGGTATCAATCTCTAAACGCGCACGTTCTCGTGCCAGTTCATCGAGCATACGACGTGCCTCTAGCAGTTCCGTCTCATAGATACTCTTAATGTTGGTCGTCTCTTTGGTCACGGTGTCACGTGTGGTCTGCACCTCAATGGTAAGACGTGCGTTCTCCGTCTCCAAGTTGCGAACGCGATCAATATAGCAAGCCAGACGATCGTTCAAATTCTGCAGCTCGACCTTCTCCACCAGTCGCGAATGGCGCGTGGGGCTGGTCGCCTGCTGCTGCGACTGCGACTGCGACGACGACGCCGATGTCTGTTGCTGTGGCCCAGATGATGGTGGTCGAGGGGTCGAGGTACTGCCGGGCTGCGGCGTCGCGGTGCCAGCGCGTCGAGTTTTAGACGACATTGTTAACGTTCACTTGCTACTGACGACGACGATATATATTCATAAATAAATATGCAAATAAATTGAATTCTAAAGCACACTTTAAACTGACCTTATTATGCTTATGCTTATAGCTCGAAATATTTTTGCGCGCAATCGCTTGCTTTAGGCTGATAAAATTCCAAACAGAAACAGAAACAGAAATATCAAAAGAAATATAAAARCTCTTCAAACACGAGTGAAATGTATAAAGAGCGCAATAAAAACGAAACGAGTTTCTCTGCTCTCATCGCTCTTTGAGCGTAACACAAAAATTCACTCAAGCGACTGTACTAAAGCGAACGAACGAAAAAAAAAAGAAACAATTGAGTGACTTTTGCGGCGTTTTGTTTATGGGCGTGGGGTAAAAATACGCGGGTGCGGCGGCGAAAGGCCCGTTATATATGCTTAATACAAACACAAGCACTCAATCCAAAAATGCTTTTAGCTGCCGCACATACAATTAATAGCATGGAATTGCACAATATGGCGTTTTTAATTCACAATTTGCCCTTTTACAGCGGCATTTTGTTGCAGCTGCAGGGGGGCAAGCGCAATGGAAACTTTGGGAGGGAATCTGAAGCATTGAGACTAAATTGCACTTTTCACTCGATGTGTTTGCATATTTAAACAATAAGTAGTTTGCACACTTTAATCAATAAGTAGACTTACGTGATTATTGTAATTTATTTAAGCGATGCAAAAGTATAAGGCAAAAAAATTGTATTCGCTCTTAGAAAACGCGGCCGACGTGAAATTTCTGTTGAGTAGACTGACGCTGGCACTATCGATATTTTATTGCATCAATTGTAGCTATCGTGAATACTCAATGCAACTCTGATTGTAATTCAAGCTGGGGAATAGTTTTAGTCTTCATTTGCAAATCTAATGCAATTGTAATCTTCAAAAATATATTTTTTAGCTGTTGATTTAAATTGTACTACATTCTTATGAAACTGTGATGTTGATATATCGAATATGTGACTGTCACGTTTATCGAAAAGCTATATCGATTACAATAGCAAAAACTGTTCTTTACATTATCGACGTCACGTTCAATGTCAGTACAACTTTTTCAATCTAGCTAAGGAATATTTATTACATTTGCAAAAAAAAAAAAGAATAAATAAGTAAAAATAAAACGTACAAAAGGTAAGACATTTTGGTCAATGTGCACAAGAAAAGCAAACTTAAGGTTAAATATATTTCGCAAAATGTTGCAAGCCGTCGCTGTGTGATTCAGTATACTGAAAAACAAGATGGCGGAAAGCATATGCCGGTTTGGCATACAAAAACGCGGCATTTACAACGACACTAACAAAAGTGTTTCATTTACAAGAGCCATTTTTTCTTACAGAATCGTAAAACAATTCTTGCTAGGCATATACGCACAGAGTTAAAAAAAAAGCAGAAAAATGGCTGATAATGACGATCTTCTCGACTACGAGGATGAGGAGCAGAACGAGACCACTGCTGTTGAGAACCAGGAGGCCCCAAAGAAAGATGTTAAGGGTACTTATGTATCCATTCACAGCTCCGGTTTTCGTGACTTCTTGCTAAAGCCCGAGATTTTGCGTGCAATTGTTGATTGTGGCTTTGAACATCCATCAGAAGGTACTTATATCGTACAGTTGTGCGTATGAACAGTTGTTCATGATTTTATTACATTTGCAGTTCAGCATGAATGTATACCGCAAGCTGTGCTTGGCATGGATATCCTATGCCAGGCCAAGTCCGGTATGGGCAAGACGGCAGTTTTCGTGCTCGCCACATTACAGCAGCTGGAACCGTCTGATAACAACACCTGCCATGTTTTGGTCATGTGTCACACACGCGAGTTGGCATTCCAAATAAGCAAGGAGTACGAACGTTTCTCCAAATATATGCCCACAGTTAAGGTAAATTAGCTTATGCCAAAATTTATTCGTGAGACTTGTTTCAGTTTAGTTTGTTTTATATTTTCTATAGGTTGCTGTATTCTTTGGCGGTCTAGCGATTCAAAAAGATGAGGAGACTCTGAAGAATGGCACACCCCATATTGTTGTTGGTACACCAGGTCGCATTTTGGCACTCATTCGTAACAAGAAGTTGAACCTGAAGCACTTGAAACACTTTGTTCTGGACGAGTGCGACAAGATGTTAGAGCAACTGGGTAATTATTAAAAAGTGTATCAAATATGTGTCTATATTGCTAACACTCGGTTTTTATTGCTTTAACAGATATGCGTCGTGATGTGCAGGAGATTTTCCGAAGCACACCACACGGCAAACAAGTTATGATGTTTTCCGCCACTTTGAGCAAAGAGATTCGTCCCGTTTGCAAAAAGTTTATGCAAGATGTAAATATCTACGTCGYACTACTACTACTACTATTACGACCACTAGCTATAATATATTGCGAAATCACGCACGCCATTCAAATCAACCTAAAAACTACCAAAAAACAATTGTCACACTCTTTGCCTTATACCTAAAACCAGACAAACCTATTGCAACTGGTTTAAACGCGTTAACTGTAAACGAGAATCCTGAATTGATTCAATGTTATCGATATCTTGGTCATAATTGCTAAACACCATTTTCTAAATGGTTAATCGCGTAAATTGAAAACGAGCACGCGCTACAAGCGTATAATATGCCTGATAAATCCTTATCCATAACTATCTAAAACCATTTTCTAAATGGTTAAACGCGTTAACTTCAATCGAAAACGCGCTAAATGCGTATAAAAGATACCAAAATATTGCCCATAACTGCCCGAAACCCATTTTTTAAATGGTTAAACGCGGAACTTCAAACGCCAATGTCAAACCTTATCAAAATATAATAAAGAACGCATATTTCAAATCGCAATGCAACCAACATATAAAAATATTATACAAATTAAAAAAAAAAAAAAAAAAAAAAATTACCACTGTCAATCAAAAAGTCAAAACGGATAATGTGTCCGATTCATCTGCTGATACGACTGATGCCCACATGGAGCGCTAGCTATCCTGTCGCACAACATTTTGAGGTGATGATAGACGCTACAGATGCGCAGCCGTGGCCGCAGCAAAGAACAACAACAACATTTAAATACCCGTACATACATACTCTAGTTGATGATGATGGTTTTTAGCGTGGCCGTATGTAGAATTTGTAGGCGTACCTTAGCTCTTAAGTTGCAATTCGTATTTGTCAATCATAATTGTTTTCCTCTTAAAATGCAAACAAAACCCATTTCATTTTATTAGCCCATGGAAGTGTACGTCGATGATGAGGCGAAGCTGACGCTGCATGGCTTGCAGCAGCACTATGTCAATCTGAAGGAGAACGAGAAGAACAAGAAGCTGTTCGAACTGCTCGACGTGCTCGAGTTCAATCAAGTAATATCTTTCCACCCTGTCTCCGCAATCTATAACTGTTACATGAGATATACTAATTGGGTTTTATTTGCTCTGCAGGTCGTCATCTTTGTCAAGTCCGTGCAACGTTGTGTGGCCCTGGCTCAGCTTTTGACCGAACAAAACTTCCCGGCCATTGGCATTCATCGCGGCATGAATCAGGATGAGCGTTTGAATCGGTATCAGCAATTCAAAGACTTCCAGAAGCGCATCCTAGTGGCTACAAATCTTTTTGGCCGTGGCATGGATATTGAGCGTGTTAACATTGTATTTAACTATGACATGCCCGAGGATTCGGACACCTATTTGCATCGTGTGGCTCGCGCTGGTCGATTTGGTACCAAGGGCTTGGCCATTACCTTTGTCTCCGATGAGAACGATGCCAAGATACTTAACGAAGTACAGGATCGTTTCGATGTCAACATTAGTGAGCTGCCCGAGGAAATTGACCTATCTACATATAGTAAGTTCTTCAAGGATTTCAAATTTTGGTTTTTGATTTAACCAGTTCTAATGTTTACTTTTACAGTTGAGGGACGCTAGTCACAGCGCATGGAGATATGAAATACTTAACATATGACAAAAGATACCAATTTTTTATAAACTTTACTTTATAACTAATAAAAATACAATCCCATCAATGTGTTGATGTAGAATAATAAAAGTCAATTCATTATCAAGAATAGTATTTGTAGTGGATATACCAGAGAAATTTAATTTGTCTTTATATAGCGTTCAAATCGTATCTTTTAGTTGCAATTTTCAATCTTAATTTTAATCATGAACAATAATTTAATATTACAAATTTATCTTATTTAAAGAATTATTTTCACATTTGAAATATTAGTTTTATTTTAGGATTATGGATTCTCTGTAATCTGCTCAATTTGCAATCATTTCATATAGAGCATGTCGAAAATGTAATAAAATTGAATATATAAAGAAAATACATAATCCAATCCTTTCGTTTGCTGGTCCAGTTCATATATATATATATATATTTTTTTTTTTTGGGTCCGTTTTGGGACATGCGCAAATCGCCTTGAGTTTCCGGCTGTTGTAGGGTTACTAAAGGGCAGGTCCTTGAGCGGGCGCGGGGACTGGATTACGTGCGGTGGTTGTATAAAAACGAAAAACAAGAAGAAGCTCAGAGTTAGGCCAAACAATGTGAAGAACAAATCGAGTAATTCAAAATGTTATTGAAAAAATATGTGAAAACGCGTCGAAAGGTGAAGATTCTGTTGCTGGTGACGATTGTGGCGCTCATTGTGATCACCTGCATCATTTTGCTGGGCAGTTCGGGGCCACATGGCTCAACCATTGAGCGTTTGCTGGACGAACGTTTCATTGCGCGCGCCTATCAGCCGCAGTCGGAGCAGCTGCAGCAGCCCAGAGAGCAGGCTGTGGCCCTGCTGCAGCCCCATCGGGAGAATGGCGTCATTGTGCCGGAGAAGTATGACGAGCATAAGATCAAGGAGCGCATCATGCAGAATCGCCTGCAGCAGGCGAAGCAGCAGCAGCAGCGGGACAATGAGGCGGAGCAGACGCTCACCACAGTGGATGCTCTGACCACGGCTGTGCACATTTTCTATACGGCTCCGGTTCCGTGGTACAAGTCCAAGAAACCGCCACTGCCGCAGCCAGAGCATCCCAATGAGGTGGCTCTGCCACTGACCACCCCAAAGCCCGTTAAGATCCTGAACACCGCCTTCTATCCAGCTTTGGGCCTGTATAAGCCGAGTGCCAAGCTGCTGGGTCAGCATTTCGAGAACATACGCAGCTGTGGCATTGGCGTGATCATACTCAGCTTTGTGCGGCCCTCGGATCCGGCGCTTCTGCATCAAATCCTCGAGCTGGCCCCACAGCATAATCTCAGCGTCACCTTTGAACTGAGCGTGGCCGGCAATCGTACGCTGGAGTTTGTGCGCCAGCAGCTGCAAGAGATTGCGGCATATGTGGATCTCCCAGGCTTCTATCGCGTGTATAGTCAATCCCGTGCAGCGCTGTTGCCCGTATTGTATGTGAGCAATGCGTATAAACTAAGCGAGAGCCTGGGTCGTCAGCTGTGCCGGCCCACAGCCCAGGAGCTGGCCGAGCAGCTGAATGTGCCCAAAAACGTCGGCGGATTACGTCGCGTGCTGGATGCACTGTTCATTGGGCACATAAGGTAGGATCGACATCGTATTGGGTCTTTCCCTGTTCTAATCAACGTCTTCCGTTCAGGCTTAAGAGTCATGCGGATGTGCTGCGTCGCTTGTGCTTCGATGGTTTCTACAGCAAATTGCCAAGCAATGGCGCCGTCTTTGCCAGCACCTGGAAGAACTGGTCATATCTCAAGTCCTATGCGCTGTCCTACAAAATGTTGTTTGTGCCAACCGTGGGACCGGGCTTTGCGGAGCGCAATAAATTTCCGCGACACGGTGATATACAACGGCACAGGAGCAACGGGCGGGTAAGTGGCAGCGGAACTAGGGCTGGGTAATAAATATACCCTGTAACTGTTGTACATGTCCAAGTGTGGGTATGCTTGCATTTAGAAGAAGCACATACGGCTGTGGGACTGAAAATAGGGCAGACGTGCCTAATATCGTTTTTGCTCGAATCGATAAATATCGAGAAAATAAGCATCAGATATTTAAGATTACTTTTGTTGTTTGTCGATAAATGCCGATATATAACTTTAATACCTATACGTTTATTAATCAATAACAACGTACTACAGGGTGACTGCTAGTCGGGCAGCCACGACTTCGACACACTTAATTGCTCTCATCTAGCTAAATATTTGCCATTTCCATTTACAGTATTATGGAGTTGCCTGGCGCACAGCAATATTGAACCATGTGGGATTCATAAATATAGCCAGCTACAACAATTGGCCCGATGGCAGCCAAATTGAGGAGGTGGTGCCACGTGCCGGCTTCCTTGATTACAATCCCGGTTCGCGTACCAAGTATCTGGATCTGACGGCCCACTGGGTGGGTAACTTCCTGAAGACGCGCCAGGAGGCGGCGTCGGCGGCAGCGGGTGCGGTGCTGAACTGTTATGAGCTGCTCAATAACACGATTTGTTAAGCCAGACGGTTTATGCGTGCGCAATTCGTGATCGAACTCAGGTCGCGAACAAACTCATATCGTCGATTCAATGTGTTGCCTTACCCCGTGGAGCGGCCTCCTCCATTCGGTGTGCGTTTACTTTAAATGCAATCAATTGCAATTGCCACTCAATTACTTTCTTAACTGTTAACAAGTCTTCTACTACTTATATATGCCTATATAGCAACCAGAACAATTATCTATATATCTGCCAAAAACATAAAGCTCTATTTAAAGTGCAAGCATATGTATATTATATATATTTAGGTAACGATTAACTAGGGCCTGGTCGTATAAAGCAGCGCCAAATTATTTTAAATTTTTTCTAGACTTCGATTAGTACTACTAACAACATCAATAACTACAAAAACTAAAACAATATCATCAGCCATGCCATATTATATACATTAATATACATATATAGAAAATGTAGCAAGAATTAACTATTTGTTAAGCAAAAATATAAAGACAAAAGCTTATTAACACTTGTTAAACGAAAGGTACTTAACAAATTTTATCTTTATTACACATACAGTATAAATATATTAAAACATATTTAATTACTTTAACTAAGCTTTAATAGATTTACTAGTGCGAAAGGAAAAATAAAAAAAAGAAAAACATTTATTATCATATAAAACAAATCAAGACTTTCATACGTGTAAACGTTAATTTGCGTAGAGACAATGTATTAACCGTTATAAGTTCCCTTAGCAATTTATAGCTTATATTTTCGTATCATCAACAAACAAATAACTAATATACCCTTCTTCCCTTCTGAAATAGAGTATTTCCCTTAGTGACAGCCGCTGTCAGAGACGGCAGCAATTGCTTGACAAATTAAATTATGTCTCAGGTAAGATCAGGTATTTACCTCTCCAAAGAGCACCCGAAGCGTCAGCCCAAGCCACAGGCACCCAAAGGTTGCTGCTGCAAGCGCTCGCAATGCATCAAGAACTACTGCGATTGCTATCAGTCCATGGCCATTTGCTCCATCTACTGCAAATGCGTTGGTAAGCTCAATTGGCAGCTGAATCAATGGGTCTACAAACATCCAATATCCAATGTCCTGCAGGCTGTCGCAATACGCAGGAGCGGCTGGCGGTGGCAACGCCGCCCAAGAAAACAGCACTGGCGGCCAAACGGGAACGAGCCGCCGCTCTAAGTGCCAAGGCAGCGGCTGCGGCCGCCAAGGCGGGCATCAATATCCATTTGAAGCCGGCTCCTGGTTCGGCTGCTTTTGCTGGACAACGATTTGGAGCGGGTGCTCCGCCTCCCGCTGCTGCTACGCCGTCACAAATCCTACAGCTGCCCGACCTGGATATTGAGACTATCATCACATTGCCGCCACCAAATGTGTCTGCTGCTGCTACAGTCAAGAAGCTGCCGCTGCCACCGGCACTGGGCCAATCGCTCTACATCAGTCAGCCGTTGACGCCGCAGAAGGAGGTGAATATGTGCAAGCAGCCAGTGAATGTGGCGTTGCTCGAGTGCATCCTAGTGCAAGCTGCCGAGGCGGAGGAGCTAGGCCTCACCGAAGTGCAAGTGGGCAAACTAATACTCCACGAATTCTCGCGCGGACTGCAGGCCATCATAAAGGTCTATGAGGCTTGAAGAATAGATTTGCTTTTATTTACAAAATATACAAAATAACTTATAGACTATAATTCGAATTCTTAATGTAATATATAACAATAAATGTATTTAACCAGGTCAAAATAAATTCATTTTACATATAGATTCATTACGTATTTGAGATACTTTTGAGGCTTATATATGCATTTATATATATGTATATTAAATTATTTTCTACCAGTCCAGCGGCTGAAAGATCAGCTCAGTGGCCAGCATGTCATAGCTATCCTTGACCCCTGCGCCGTCTGCTGCAGAGGATACATTCTTGTGCCGTTCCAGCGGCAGATCACTGTCCGTATCGCTGTTGCTTTCCGTTGAATTGCCGCCATCCGCATCGTCGCCCTCCTCGTTGAGACGACGTCGCTTGGATCTCGGTCCGGATTTCGTTTTATACTTTTGCCAGAAATGCGCTGGCTGTGCAAAGTCCGTCAAATTGGCAAAGCGCATTGTCATGGCTCGGCAGAATTTATTGAACTCCCGATGCAGATCAGAGCTCATATAGTTTCGCAAATTGCGATGAATTTCCTCCACGTAGCGAAGACAGCGCTCCAGTTGCTTGAGCTGTTTTAAAGGGGGAGAAAAGGTAATCAGAGCTAATTATAAATCAAAGATCATTGACTCACCGGCTCTTCGCCCATTTCACGTTTTCGTGCGCCTCGTCCACGCCCCTTGCCTGCCGAACTATCAGTTGCTGGTGACTGCTCTGCCGGTGCAATTGGAGCTGGAGGCGATTCTTCCTCCTGTGGGGTGTCATCTTCTTCGCCCTCTGCCTGGCCTGCGCCCTGTTGCCACTTGCTCTTGGTACAAAAGCATATTCGACGCATTATAAAGAGTAGATCGATGACAACTTCCAAGGCATTGGGCAGTTCTATAAACGACGCATCCTTTGTTTTCTCTGCAAGATTATAAATGAAAAATATATTACTATTGAGATTTAAGTGCGATTCCACCAGCTTACCAGCTAATAGCTTAAGCTGTCCAAAGTATAATAAGAGCGTATTTTCATCTAATGCGGCGAGAATGTGATTATATAGTAGACGTCGGAGTTTCCTTTTACTTGGACCCTTTAATGGCGACTTGAAGCCCGCTTCCAGGCGAACCGATCCGGTTAGAAACGCCTGATCATTCAAATCGAAGGGAATCTCCTTCAGACAATGATGAAACAGCGACTTGTCATACAGTTTCTTATAACGTATAAAAAATGCATCTGCCTCGCGTGCAACCTCGATGCTATCATCGACCAGTCCAGCCAGCAGAGAGACTAAAATGGAGCCCTTCAATTTAATATTGCCAGCCAGAATGACGTCCTTGACACAGCGATAGGTGCGCACGCGTGTTGTCGCGTATTTCGAGGACAATTTGACCAGTATGCATTTCATGTTGCTTTCCAGAATTGTGGGATATTTCTTGCCCAGATCGTTGAGGCAAATCAGCGTGCTGTTAATCAATTGGGGTCTGTCATTTTTGCTCAGTATTTGACCATACATTTTGGCCACCTTATATGCTAGATCATTGTCTCGTAGGGAGAGCCGTCCTGCTATCACAACCATCCAGTTCATCATACGTTCGTTATCCGTATCGAAACTAGATTCGTTCAAGCTCATGCACAATTTCACATAGCCAAGCACAAAGTCGATGATTTTCTCATCCGCTTCGTGCGGTATCATCACAATCAGTTCGCTGTAGGTAGCCAGTAGCGAGGCCATTCGTATGTGATCCGTTTGAAAGTTCTCCATGCATTCCTTGGTCGCAGCCGTCACATCTTCGAGCAACTGCACTTGCCAATTCTCAACGGACGCGCTATTCTGCGGCGCCTGGCTATGCGACAATTGGTCGATATGATGCAGCAACAGCATTGCAGGTGAGATCACTTCCAGCCAAATGCTGCCCGTGCTCATTAGGGAGAGCAGACATTTAAAGAGCTGATTAAGCGATGCTTTCGAAAAGTTAGACAGACAGTAGATGATCAACTGAAGCGCCAAGACCTGATTAGACTTCATATTGTAGGACGAGAGGCGATCAAACGTTGGTATAATCGAATCCAAATTGTTTGTAATGCGACTGGATATGAGGAGAAGCAGTGTCCATGCTTCCGTTGCCATGGGCGTATTCAAGTGCGAGATAATTGTATTTACCAATGTGGGTCTATAAAAATAAATAGAATATAGGGTTTATCTATATTTAAATTGATGCTACTCACGTAACCAGATTCTCATTCTGCAGCAATAAATTGAATCTCAGCTGTAAATAATCCCGAGGTTGAGTAGCTAATAATGTGGTCAGAATGTGCCAGGGCAGCAGATGTTTTGATTCATTTGAATACTCCAGCGGCTTGATGTTCAGCAACACGTTACGATTGAAGCTCTGCAATTGAATGTAATTAAAACTCCGTTATGAAATATGAAATAAGAATTTCGCTCACTCACATGCAATGCAAGCTTCTGCAATTGAACATCATCATCATTCAGCATGCAGGACCAAATTCGGCAATAGACATCGACGAGTATGGAACAGTTGCTGTAGGTTTGGAGTAGAGCGTCTATGGTTTCCAGTGTGGTTTTCCGCACTGAGGAAAGTGTGTCAGTGGCTAGCGCTGATATCTCTTGCTCAAAATGCGTGTTGTATAAGATTCGGTTATTAATTTGAATCAGACGTTCTAGCAAAGCTAGGCCCGAGCAACGAGCTAAGCCATTGCTAGACATAAGAAAGCGATCGTATATCAATCGTGGCATTCTCTTAACCTCCGCTTCCAGTTCCTCGAAACCCTCGAAGCTGTAGACATAATGTAAGTTATCAGGCCTTTCGAGACTAATCTCAGCTTTTCGGGAATTCAGTTTGGCTTTTGATTCTAGATCATCGTATTGAACAAAATTGATGGCCTCATGGAGTATTCGGGTTGTGATGGGCGAACCGTTCCTAATGGCTAAGGTTAGCACCTGGCTGGCCTTTCGACGCACGCTGAAAGTTTTGTCATCGAGACAGCGAATTGTTTCTCTGATCAGAGCAACTTCTCGGGGCTTAGTGGACACATCGTGGCGAAAGATGCGCCACTCCACCTGTGTCTGGTGCTGCAAAATGCGCTCAATTAGTTCGAGGGATCTCAACTGCAGGCCTACTGCGTCATCTGCTTGTATTGCTTGAAGTAACAAATCTGTGCAGGATTTGTTGCATTTGGAATAGAGAGCTGCATCATATTTGGCCGCATATCCAATAGCAATTTTCTCATCACCAACTTTCCACTAAAATAAATTTCGTTGTAAATGACATATTTTAATTTGGTGCAGCATTCAGTTTAACTTACCTCTTTAATAGGATTTGTTATCACGCATTCAATGTAATTTTCCAATACTACTGACAATATATCTGGATACTTGTCCAATAGCTTGATAAACCAGTCTGAAATATGCTCGCCACTTTTTGGACCAGAACCCTTCGTGTTTTCTGGATAAATATGCATATAAAACGTTTCCGTCATTATATGCATCAAAGTCTCGTATACGTCTCCATTTTGCGCAATAGTTATCTCGTCTAACAGTTCAAAACATTTCGCATGTAATTGGGGTGCACCTGAAACAAAATATATTTAAAATTTATAAGCGACGATATTATTTCGATATTCAGCCGATATACAAAGCGATATGGCAAGCAGTGCGGGTATTCAGCTTGATACCAAACTGTTTATTCTATGAATATTTTTCTGTCTAGCTTTTTCCCGCTAGAGCTAGCTTCAGTTTGGCTTTTCAATAGTTGGCACGACTAGTATATCGATAGCTACGCTAAGTGATTCGATGACATTTACGAATCGCATTCTCTGCTCTAGCAGTGCAATTACGAACGATAACAACGAATAAGATTTGTGAAATTCAAACATAGGGTTTTTGGCGTTAATTTTGCAGTAAAATGTTAATTTTATTGCGCAACAATGCTGGCAGTGCGGCAATCAGCCAGGCACGTAACATTGCCAAACGATTGTTGAGCACAACAACAGCAAACCGAAACGCAGAGACAACACCGGCAACGGAGCACTATGATATCATTATTGGCGGAGGTGGCTTAGTTGGTACAACACTTGCTGCTGCGCTGGTCAACAATGTGACTCTGGCTGATAAGAAGGTATTGCTGCTGGAGGGTGCACCGCCATTCAAGGGTTTTGACCCCTCGGGTCCCTATCAAAATCGTGTTTCGGCTATCAATAGAAACTCTGTGGACCTCTTTAAAGCTATCAATGCCTGGACACACATTGAGCAGGCACGATACAAGCCCGTGAAACAGATGCAAGTATGGGAATCAAACAGCGACGCACTCATTCAATTCCAGCATGATAATTTTGCCAGCGATGTCGCTTGCATCATTGAGAATGATTTGATACTCGATGCGGTCTATGCACGTGTCAAGGAATTGGACAATGTGAAGGTGTTGAATAAGGCGCGCATTGAGTGCGTGGGTTTGCCTGGTAAGACGGGCGCACCCCACTCTCAAGTTAAGCTCCAGGATGGACGCAGCTTCACATGCGACCTGCTTATTGGAGCCGATGGTGCCAACTCTGTGGTGCGTAAGGAAATGGGCGTGGATGTTCTATCATTCAGCTATGACCGCATGGGATTGGTGGCCACACTGGACCTTAACATGGACGATGATTGTGATAATTCAGTGGCCTGGCAACGTTTTTTGCCCACCGGTCCGGTAGCCCTGTTGCCACTGAGTCCCAAGCACAGCTCCCTCGTCTGGAGCACAACTGTGCCGCATGCTAAGGAATTGCTGGCCATGGACGCAAATGCCTTTACGGATGCCCTCAATGAGGCCTTCTGTAGACAATATCCACGTGTAGATCTGGCGGACAAGGCGTTGCAAGGACTCAATGCTCTCTTCGGCAACAGCAGCGCCCAGCATCAGCGCCAATATCCGCCTAGAGTGTGTGGCGTTCAAGATGGCTCCCGGGCTACGTTCCCCCTGGGCTTCTTGCATGCATCTTCGTATGTGTGCAATGGCGCTGCTCTCGTCGGAGATGCTGCGCATCGCATTCATCCACTGGCTGGTCAAGGCGTTAACTTGGGCTTTGGTGATGTGCGTCGTCTGGTGGAAACTCTGGCTGCTGGAGCTTATGCCGGATTCAAGCTTGGCGACACACAACATCTGATTAAATACGAACGCAAATGTTTGGCCAAAAATGTGCCCATCATGGTGGGTGTGCATGGTCTGCACACGCTCTACTCCACTGACTTCAGTCCTGTGGTGCTAATGCGCAGTCTTGGCCTGCAGCTGACTCAGAATTTACCGCCCATCAAGAACTTGTTCATGAAGACCGCCATGGGTTAAGCAGCGCAGCAAAGGGATTTCTTATCTTTAAGTGTTAACAGTTTTATAGTCGCTAACAAAGCAAATAAAGGGTGTTTATCTATGCAATTACATCTATTTATCTCTTCGGATATTTAACCCGCTGCAGCTTCAGGCTCTATCCTCACATCATTCTTTTCATTTGATAAAAACATTTTTCTATTATTTTCTACAACTTCACAAGAATCAGAGAATATAAATTACTTCATTTTGATTTGTTCATAAAATCTAGTTATATTTTGTTCTTCATTAAAAGTAGTAATTGGTGGCAGCTGACATATTGCATTTGACGACTTACTTRCTTAATCATAATATTAGAAGGCACATTTGGTACAGACTTTCTGAGAGACTATGATTATGTTAATTCTACGAATTGCTTTAAAGCTCTTGATGGCTTTTGGTTATATCCACCTGTAGTAAGGTGTTGCTATCGGCCAGGTGCAGTTCCTGATCGAGCATGTTTACGGTGTCCTCTTCCGGAAAGATTTGCTGTCGATTGCTTTTCCGTTGCGGCTCACCAGCTCCATCCGAAATATCAGCAATTTGCTGGGAGTCCTCCGTGTCGGATATGTAGCCCGTTTCACCCGTATAGTGGATGGGATAGAGCAGCATGGGCGCTGCGCTAAATGCTATTAGATTGCGTGGCTCGAAAGCCTGGCTGAGATTCTGCAACGGATGCCGGCCAAACATTACGGGCAGAAATTCATCGACCGGTATAAGTTTTTCTAGCGGCTTAACGGCCAGCAGCTTCTCGGCTCCACGCAGCGTAATGACATAGCCCAGTGTCCAGTAAGAGTAGCCCACATGCACGAGATTATCGCTGCCCTCCACCCAAGGTTCGCTTTCATCTTTCAAACGCTTGCGACCGAAGTAGATGAGGTCATAGTCATAGTTACTTGCCTGTTGGAGCACGCGTAGTGCATTCGCCGTGAAATATGGCTCGAAACGTATATCATCCTCCAGGATGAGCACCTGGAGTAACTGTCGCTCTACAATCTGCTGCCAAATGTGATAGTGACTGAGAAAGCAACCAATTTCGCCCATTGTCATGGGACGATGATGATATGGATCCTCGTAGCCGGGCATGAAATTGATGCCCATCTCCTGCACCAGCTGTGTGTTCAGTTGTTTGCCATCGACAGCAGCAAAGTGCTCCACTTCCAGGCCCAGTTCGGCAAACAGATTCTCCATCTTCTGACGCCTTTCCGGCCTTCTCTCCAGATTGATCATGAATATATTATCCAGGTTCAGCTTAGTTTTCTCGGGCAGTCTAATGTACTTTTGTAAGAATGGCTGCACAGGCGGTACAGCTCCCAAATCGTGCACCATGTTAGCTCTAATATTGATTAGTTGATACAAATCCTGCTGCAGTGTGTCCGTCGTCTCCAGCGGCTGCATCATATAGCCAAATGACAAAGTATTGCAGATATGCAATGGCACTTGAGAGCTATTCGCGGATATGGCAAACACAATGATATCGTCCATGGGTCCATTATACACTTCCACATGCCTTGCAGTCTGCATTTCCACAAGTCGCTGGCGGTCAAAGGTTAGATAGCGCGCACCCGCATAGCTCATGTGCACCAACACAGCTGTATGCACCATTGGCACGGCAAAGACTCCAACTTTCTCTTTATGGTATATCTCTTTGTATTCTGGAGTGCGCTGATAGTAATAATCCTCAGTCATGCCACACCAGAAATTCGAATAGAGACTATCCGACAGCAACATGGGCGCCACAATGGGCAGTCGCAGGGCTGTCAGTTCTTTGAGAGACTTTGGCTCAGTCAGCAGCACATCGGCATCCAAAAAGAATATAAATTCAGCCCAAATATCGCGCGCATATTGCAGCGCCTCCTCTTTCAATGCAATCAAATGTTTGAAACGCGATGCCGGCCAGTCGTAAGCAGAGCTCTCATTAAGATAACGCGACTGTTCATCATCGAAAGCATAATTGACGCTATGATAAAGGTCCGCCGAATGTTCTAGCCACTCTTGTAGCAATTTTATGCTATTATCGTTGTTATGATCACTGCGTATCCTGTATATATACACATATATGTATATTATATTCTCCAATTTGAGCTCATTGGTGCTCGCACTTACCAGAAGGCAATACGCTGCTTGGGATAATCCAGTTGATCTACATAGCTCAAAAACAAGGGTAATATGTGCGCTTTATTGCGCACGAGTAGCGTTATAAGAACTGTTGGCTGCTCGTACTCCAAATCCAGTGCCCAGCCGGCGCCCAAGGCGCATATTGTGATCAGTACTAATTCTGTACGCATTTCCACGTCATTCCAAATACATGGTTTGGTTCAAATAGGTCAAACGAACGGATGCGACGGCTGCGGCTGCGGCTGCTGGACAAGTGCGGATCGACTGTCGGGCCGGAATCTATTTTTATACTTGCTGCTAGCGTTCATTGAACGCTCGCCATATGTTTATAATCAGTTACTGAATAACGATAACACATCGATTTGTAAATGCAGGACCTATCGTAAACAGTAACTTTAACTATCGATTGTCAAATTTGGCATGCAATCGATTTCTGAGCTTGTGGCTGCTCACCTTTGATTTATATTTTCAAAAGTAACATTGCTCTTTAAAAATTTAACAACGATTTATTTTAAATATATGTACAGAGAATATTTTATGCACTAGCTGCATGAGGTTTAGCATATGTGGGAAAGTTTAGTTTTAAGCCCTCTTTGGCCTCGAAGAACGTGTAGGATAGTGTAATGGTGTCACAATACTCGAGCGCCGGATCTTGCGTGATTTCTGGATCAATGTAGAAGAACACAGGCATATCCACTTCCTCGTGAGGGTTAAGCATTTGCTCCTCAAAGCAAAAGCATTGAATTTTATTGAAATATGCACCCGCCTCGAAGGGTATCACATTGTAGGTACTAATGCCAACCACCGGCTTGTCCGTCGGATTTTTGGCCGTATAGAAGGCGAGCGCTGTCTCGCCCGGCGCAACTTTAATTTCATACTGCTGCGGTTTGAAGTTCCAGCGCATAGAGGAGCCAATGTCTGCATTGAAGCGTATCTTGAGAACGCGATCGTTCACTTTCACCATGTGCTCCACCTTCTCGGTGTCATGACCTTGCGAGGTGGTGCCACCATAGCTATATGCTTGACAAAATATGCTGTACAGTGGCACAGCCGCATAGCTGAATCCCACAATCAGCACTCCACCTGCAGTTATGTAGTACAGTGTAGATTTTGAGCGTAATTTACGTGCTGCATCTGGATCGCTGCGGTTGCCACCAAGTGTTGATTGTTTGCGACACGTTCGCGTCGTCAAAGGCTGCTTGTTTGTCTGCTTCAGCACCTGCTGGCAGTGCATGCGCAACGAGCCAAATGTGCGCAACATTTAAAACTTATTGTTGAAATTGTTATTAACAATTTACAGCTGTCTTCACAATCAACCGTTTGTATAATCTTTGCCTTATAAAACAGCTGTTGGCCACCTGCCAGTGTGTACACACAATAATTGCCGGTTGGCTCGTTAAGTGTTTACATCAGAAGAAATCCAATAGATATGCGCAGAAATTAAAAGTGATTTATCATTCACGACTTCTAGCTTGTTCTGCACTTTATATATTTACGATATTCGAAATGATATTTCAATTTATCGTAATTTAATAAATTTTCGGAGATGTTTTTAATTTTGTCCTGCATATCAAATCAATCTAATATTCAACTGGGCACACATCCAATATTTAAAAGTTTTTAGCAAATAGCTAATGCTACGCTAAGATAAAGATAAATACTAAATATTTTGTTGTAATACTCACATGCATTATTATAGCCATGTCTGAAATTCATATAGAGTATGGTCAGCAGGCAACGCACTATATTATCGCGTGGCTTTAGATGATCTTTGAAGTGGACATAGCGAAAGACGAGTTTGAGATCATCACAAATTGTTAGAAATAATATCCATATATTGTTAGCTAGCGGACTGGAATTGGAATAATTTTCCAGCAGGCGAAAAACACGGAGACAATGTTCGATGACGCCCTCATCGAACACGCCGTAACTTTTGGCGCCTGGAATGGTGAGGCTTAGAAAATACGTGCTAACTGCATTGAGCGCCAGATGAACGTTTACATTCTCATTTATTGGCTGAGGAGCATGTTGCACCAAGTCTTGTGGCAAGATCGCTAGACTCGATAATGCATAAATATATGTCAAATAATCCTTGGGCGCAATGTTCTCGATTTTGGCCCAATTATCATTGATAATGTCGAATGTGATGTCGCTCTCGATATCGCTTGATCGCATCAATCTGATGCATTGCGCAAGTTCCCTTAGCGTTTGTAATTGATTATCCTGTCGTTGCAAATCCTGCCGGCACATGGGCAAGGCCCAGAATTTTTGGGCTCTTTGTCCTGTCAACTGGTCGTCATCATCGCAATGCCAATCTTCCACATCAGTCCATTCCACGTTTTGTGCGAACTCCGACTTAAGCTCATAGAATATCCGATTAAGGTCTGACATGTTTTCATAATAATTTTCACACTATATACACGTTTTTTTTTCATTAAACGCGGTTTAGGGCATTTGTTTACAGTTAGTACGCAAATGTAGTAGTCCCTCTTAAGCGATGCCTGTGACTATCGTTATTCATCGATAGTAAAGACACCGAACAGCTGCTTGCGAGATAGGCTTGGTATGCTGGTCAATTTCAGTAACTTTAATAAAGAAGAAAATTTCTATAATAATAGTAATATCTTATAAAATAAATGATTAATTAGCAATATAATAGTGGCAGTCAATAATCTATATAATGCATTTAAAATTCAATTCGTTGGCATCGTAGAGCGACCTCCGTATGTGAGCGAACAGCATACTTGGCCTTATCAACATATGGATAAATAACATCGAAAAAAACTACACCCAATTCTGATTTGGCACTTCTCGTACACAATGGACGCTCTTAAAGAAGCGTCCCTCGATAACGACGAGGTGCGTGAGATCCTAAAGAACACCACAGATCTGCGCCAATATTCGCGTCAAATTGAAAAGGAGTTCAAGGATGTGGAGAACAAATCAATTGAGGATTACATTGCCGAATCGCAGAACATTGCCAATCTGCACAATCAAATCAACGACTGTGATGAGGTGCTGGAACGCATGGAGAACATGCTGATGAGCTTCCAGAGCGTGCTCAACAACATCAGCACCGAAATAACACAGCTGCAACGCAAATCCGTGTCCATGTCATTGCAATTGACCAACAGGCAGTCGGTAAAAGCGCAGCTGTCACAATTCATCGAGGACATGGCCGTCTCGGAGGAGATGATCAACATAATAATGGACACGCCTGTGACAGAGCGTGAATTTAGCACCCAACTGAATGTGCTGAACCATAAGCTGTCGCTGGTCAAGGAGCTAAGCTTTAAGGAATCGAAATCAACGAGCGATGTGAGTGATGTTCTGCACAAGCTGCGCCTCAAAGCCATGTCCAAGATACGCAGCTATCTGCTGGAACAGATCTACAAGTTTCGCAAGCCCATGACCAACTATCAGATACCGCAGAATGCGATGCTGAAGCACAAGTTCTTCTTCGAGTTCATATTGTCCAACGAGCGCCATGTCGCCCAGGAGATATGCAGCGAATACATCGATACTATGGGAAAAATCTACTATAGCTATTTCAAAGTAAGTTAAATGAATAGATATTGATTCAATTAAATATATGTCGATTGTTTGTAGAGCTACTCTACACGCCTGTCAAGCCTTAAATTTGAGGAATCCTGCACCAAGGATGATCTAATGGGCATCGAGGACAACGCTTCCAAGGGTCTGTTTGCCAAGACAACGAGTCTCAAGCATAAGAGCACAATCTTCACCATTGGCAAACGCGGCGACATACTTAACCAGCAGCTAGAGGCGCCAATTATAGTGCCCCACGCACAGCTCAAGAATCGCGTAAGCTTCGAGAATGCTTGAATAAGACTTTACTTCAATATATTGTTCGCTTTATAGTACACGCCGGAGGCGCTATTCCGCTCGGAACAATATGCCTTGGTTGACAATGCGTGCCGAGAATATTTATTTGTAACTGAATTCTTTATGGTGCGCAACACCCAAGCGCAGGATCTCTTCAATCAAATTATGGGAAAAACGTTGACCTTGATGATTGTATGTTAAGGCTGAATTGAAGTATATTTTGTGAATATCATTAATTGACTCTGGTTTTTTTAAAGAAAAATCTGGAAACCTCTATACATGATTGTTACGATACCATAGCCATGTTCCTTTGCATACACCTGATCTTTCGCTATCAGCTCATGTGCCACAAGCGCTGTGTGCCAGCACTGGATAAGTCAGTATACTATACTATATATATATATATATGATGTCATCTATATCCTTTTATTTCTGTTTAGATACTGGGACTCTTTGCAAGCAGTTATTTGGCCACGTTTTGAGCACGTGTTTCGCCTAAACATTCAGAGCATTCACGACTGTGATCCCACAAAGTTCAACAAGGAAATGGGTCCACATTATGTACGAGTAAGATTCCCTAACTAATGTCGGTTAGTCTAAATCCTTTTCTTTTTAGATAACGCGTCGCTATGCTGAGTTTAGTGCCGCCATTGTTGGAATCTCGGAGCACTTCCCCAATGAGCTGGTCAGTAGACTCCTGCTGGAGCTACAAAATGAAGTCGAATGCTTTATTTTGCGTATGGCTGCAATATTCGCCACACGCAAGGATCAGCTTATTTATTTGATCAATAACTATGATCTAGTGCTTGGCGTGCTCATGGAGCATACGCGCGACAACTCCAAAGAGGCTGAAGCGTTTCGTGAGCAGTTGAATGCGCGCAGCGCTGAATATGTGGACGAGATCTTGGCGCCACACTTCGGTGGCATAATACAGTTCGTCAAAGAGGGTGAGCAGTATGTGGAAAAGGATCAAGCCGATGAGCTACGTAAGCAGGAGAGACGTAGCCTTGCTCTGGTGGCCAGTTTCTCAGCAAATTGGAAAAAATCTTTAGAGGAGCTCAATCGCGAAGTACTTCTGTCGTTCCCATCCCTGTTGACGGGCTCTCAATTGCTGCAATTGGCGCTTGCTAGTTTAGTCCAGTATTATCATCGTTTCCACAAACTGCTGACACCGAATGCGCGCGCCCAACTAACCAATATCCATGTGGTTATGGTCGAGATCAAGAAGTACAAAAGCAACTATTGAAGTGACAATTTAAAATGTTTTAATTATAATGCGTGCATTGCGAAACATTCCAAAAATAAAATATATGACAACTGTTGTAAATATGTGCAATGGAGGCTGCCATTAATTTGGAGTTGCTTGTGTAATTATTCCTCATCCTCGAACATCATCTCAACCAGATCCTTGTTGGAGCACCGCTCGCCATCCAATCGCTGTGGCGACTTCCAGCGCAGCAGTGTTGGCAAGAAAATCAGATGGGTGTTGGGATCCTTGCGGAATGGACAGTTCAAGTCTTTCCAGCTGCAAAATCATAATCTCATTAAGTAATTCGCTCGTATTCTTTGCGAGTACATTATAAAGATAATAAGCAGACCAAAAGAAAGTTATTTAAACAGTTAGCCAGTCTTGCTAAATTGAGTGTTTATCACTAACTTAATGGGCGTGACAACATGCACTACAGAAATGTTTACACATATATATGTATATTCGTATTTATATTAGAGGTGCTGTAAAATGTTCTTGAGAGTTATCGTCGACAGACCTCATAACTTAACAACAACAAGCGTATAGCCGTACGTATATATTTTTGTACAGTGGTCAACATTTAATTATACTCTTGTGCAATTGACGTGAATATAAGCTCGATACATATGGCTGGTCTGAGCGCCCTTCTTAGCTAATTTCATGAAGCTTTGTTCTGTTGTAGCCAGCATCAACATGTACAAGGGGCCACGTCAGATTATTATAACATAGAGATGTAGGAAGAACAAAATTATACGAATATAGATACTAATTCAATAGAAAGTTTTTCGCATTCCAATTGGTATGCTACTTAAAGCTTATACAAATTTCGTATTGACCTTATTCGAATAAGCAGAACATTGATTTTCATTAGCAACATTTTTGCAAGGGCATTTAATATTCGGCACCGCGAAACTGTCAGCTGCCACTTGTTTAACAACTATGATTATATTACGACTTACTATGAACGCTCGCCAACATCGACATGCACAAAGTGGGAGTTTTCAGGGGCCTTCTTCAATGCATCATGTATCACCGGTTCAGCTGTGGGAGTAGAGCACGTATAAATTAACCATTTGGGAATTGTATGCTCTTTGCGGTTAACCACTAGACATCATTGTATATTACCCTTGACACAATATGGACACCAGCTCTCGCCATTTTCGTCTTTGCCACCACTGAAGAGGACATGCACTTGGTTGTTGCCGTCACCGGTTTCTAGTTCCTCCATTTTCTTGGAGAACTCTTCGTAGCCCTTAACATTGTGTGTTATGACCATAATTTTGCCTTGTTTGAATTTATTAACACCGCCTGCGAGTGTACGCTTGACGATATGCCGGACGAGCGTTGATGGCGACGTGATTGAGCACTTTTAAGTAACTGGTATAGAAATGTTACGAGCTTATTGTTTTATATCGCCTTAATTTTGTTATCACGAATGTCAACGATTGCTTATCGATAGCAGACTCTGTTAGTATTTGAATTATCGATATGCTCTATGAGGTAACAAAAGAACAGAAACAGTGCCGCCTCTGAAGTGCATCGATAATTGCAATGGATTATATAAAATATATCGTTAATTTACTCATCACCAAATTCATCAAAACATATGTTCAACTTATATTTTGTTATTCACACACACGGCAATTTGCTATTTAATTTGGTTTAGATAATTATTTTACTCAAAACATGGCACAGTCAATACTACTGCGCAGTTTATTGCTGCACAGGAAAACGATGCTGTTGCCGACAACCACACGGCTTCGATCTCTAGCAGCGTTGCATTTGAGCAATTCCGTAGCGCAGCAAGCGAAAAGCAGTTTGTAATTCCCAAAATAGGAATGTGACCCTGGGCTAATAAATCATTTTGTTAGATGGTGGCGCACTCCAGGAGTCTAGCGGAGGAGGTAGTAATGTGTCTACTGATGTTCGACCCATCGGCGAGAAGATCAAAGAGAACACTAAGACGGCCAGTTATACGGCTATCATTTTGGCTGGACTCGGTGTAACGGGCATTATGTTTTATGCCATTTTCCGCGAGCTTTTCTCCAAGGAGAGTTCGTGCAATATATATTCCAAGGCATTGCAAATGGTCGTTGATGATCCCCGAGTACAGGATGCCATTGGATCACCCATCAAGGGCTTTGGGGAGACGTCGCGTCGTGGTCGTCGCCAGCATGTGGCCCACACAAGCTTCGAGCGGAATGGAGTGCCTCACATGCGCATGCAGTTCTATGTGCAAGGACTGCGAAATAAGGCAACCGTACAGCTGGAAGCAAGAAGGGTGCGCACTCTAACTAGAGATCTTAAGATCTATATATAATCTTCTACTATTGTTTTCAATGCAGGACTCAAAAGGACAGCTGGAATTCCGTTATTTATTTGTGCAATTAGATCATTACCCACGCACCACAATCGTCCTGGCGGATAACCGTGCCTATGATCCTACGCCGGATCGTGCCCAATCGGGCTTTGGCAATTTGGCCCTCATGTCCAACAGCCGCGACAAATAGAAAAGCCGGAGCCACTATAATCCATAATCCAACACAAACACCTAAAATTTTATGTATGATTTGTTATTTAATGTACACATTGACTGAAATTGGGAAAAGTGTCTCATTCGCCTATGGAGAAATTGTCCATTTCTAGAATGGCGCCCGACTCGTGTCAGTAGAGCTTCTTCCATGGAATTATCTCCCACGAGCGAACGATATGGCGTCCGAATAGAAAATCCTTCAGCTTGTTCATAATGTAAAATGAAATGCCAAAGAATGACGCAAAATACAACCAGAACTGTCCAAGACGTTCCCAAATGCTCAAATGATAGCGTGCCGGCAACTGCAGCACATCCAACTCCAGGTTGATGGTTAGGCCGGGAGTTAAGCGTGGCGGTGCGGGCCTGTAATAAGTCTCCTGCACAGCCAGCTGGAAGTAGGCCGGATTAGCTTTCACCTGGGCCAGCAGCGATTCCATTTTATATTGGGAAATGTCCGCCAAGCTGTTGTTCGTGTCCAGTTGCACCTGGCGGAAATGGGTCTGCAGGTTACGTCCCGGAAACGGGCAGGTGAACTCCACAAATTGCTTCAGCTTGAGTTCGCCTTTCAGCTGGACGTGTCCGTTCTGGAGCCGCATAGCCTGCGGCATTTGGAGTTGATCTGCCAGCACAGCGGGCGGATTAAGGAGGCATTTGTGGCGCAGCTGCGCCTCGAAAAACAGCAGCAAATCGAAGTTTATCAGAGGTGCAGGCAGTTGCTGCAGCTCCAGTTGAAAGTGCACTCGATCCGTTACCGCATCGTAGTCCAGGTCCTGTGTCCAATATTTGCTCGCCTCGCAGCGGCTCGAATAGTTTTGCATTCGTGCATTGAAGTTGGCGAAGCTGCTGCAGGCCACAAAGGACGATTCTAGCGACTCATGGTCCTGCGATGACTCCACGTGAGCCACAAATATATACTGATACTTAAACTTCAGATCCGGCTGCTCATATAACACGCGTGATTCCGATATGCCGGAGTAGGGACTCAGAAGAGAAACCAATAAGACGGGCAACATTACGGAAAGGGCTATAAAGACGAGCACCAGCAGCGAGGCGAGCGAACATAGTGAGTTCTTGTACACAATGGCCGTGTTTGTGGTGTGCAACGGTATGAATTTCATCCTGATTACTTAATTTTCTCAACTGATATTCGACTGTCGAAGCAAACTTTGCAATTGTCAAGTTGTGTTTTGATTTAATTCAAATTGGTTGCCAAGCAACGTCCGTCAAGTGGCGTCATCTATTGTTCAAATGGATGTCAATGATTTCAGACGTTTCATAGCTGTCAGCCTGTGTCAGTTTGCGGTAGTTTTTGACAAGTCATACGCGGGGTAAGTGCCTATTTCACAAGTTTTGTAGCTATTTGCTTGTGTAAATCTGTAATTTTTCGATAAGCTGGTTGCAAGTTCGTTAAGCGTGGAGCAGTTGAAATTAACGTTATTTTAAGAGTCGTTTAAAAGAGGCAATGATTAAAAGCAATTTCCCAAAAACTTGATCTCTTTCCTTTTTTTTTACTATCTCACTGCATGTCAGGCTTGCTGGCAATGTGATCGCTGCGCTTTCAACACTCTTTAAACTAAGCGCATTAAATTTAAAGCTTCAACTTCCGATTTTTATGCGTTTCAGGTAGAAAACCAGTTGCCTCATTTAAATTTGCGCAAATGTTGGTCAAGTCAAAATTTTGTATTTTGTATTTTTCTGTAAAGTTTACTTTTCACTTTTTGGTTTTCGATCGATGAGGGCTGCAGCTTCTGTTATTGGAATCGGGGCGTCTCGTTGCAAGAATCCCATAATTATGTGCAATCAATACTTTTGCGGTATCGGCTTATGCTTAAGCTCCATATGGCCGGAACGGATGCATTTCGCTGAGGATCAATTGACGAACGGAGTCAGCTAAATAATTGACCAGAATCGTGTTGGCCAGTTCACTAATAAAGCGATTGGCAACGTCCCATTCGAGGTGATTCTTAAGGCGGATGCGTGCACTGTTCAAGTTTTCAGCTGCTATTGATTTCAATTAAGTGAAAGAAATACTCGTAACTCTTTAGTTGATTGACTGACAGACTGTTTTAAAAACAGTTAATGTGAACTTGGTAATTCTTTTAGTATATTTTTATTATAAATATTTCCATATAATGAATTAATATATTATAAATTGTAGAATTCCCTTAGACCAAGCAAACAGAAAATTCTCTTTTCTTTTGACTTGAATCTGTTTAAATGAGCCATCAAAAACATTGACTTAGCCAATCTGAGCTGTGACAAGGCTTACTATATGTATTAAAATATATATTAGTCTCTTTATTTTCTCTGGTTGTCAATTTATTCTTTTGACATTCAATTGTCAAGTTGTTGTGCAACTTCTTCTGTTTACTTTCGTAACTTAGGCATTTGCTTCAGCCCGGATTGTCGTCTGCGTGATATGTCAGTTAAATATCGCCTGCTTGAATATATTTTCATATACATTTATTTATTTTTATTTTTTTGTGATGGGCATGCTCTTGTCAAAACTAAGAAAAAGCAGTTAAGAAATATGATGAATAAATAAATAAATAAATAAACCGCAGCACTCTTTGACAGTTACATGTGTTTGACAGTTGGACAGGGTTGCCAAGTGTGTGCATGAAATATGAAATGTTACTTGATTGATTCACTGTAATACCCCCAAAACACACACACACACACACAACAGATTGAAAGTGAGCTCACAGCTTTACTAAAACAAGAAAAAAACAAGTAAGAAGGCTCCAGTCGAGACTGCTCGACTAGGAGATACCCTGARCCCTCCAARCTGATATTCTAATCAKTCTGGACTTCTTTTATGCACACATACATACACATGCACGTATAAGCACGCGCTTTGCAAACTGCGCAGCTAGCAGCGGCTGCGCTTGGGCTGCACTGCAGTGTGGGCAATATAACGAGAATTTATTTGTTGAATAATTTCTTTTGTAGACATACGATCTTAATGAAACTTTTAGAGCGTAATCATATGGCTTAAATGTGTGTACATTTCAAAGCACAAGTCTCTAGTACTTGAAATGCGTTTTTTACAAATTGGGGGCGAAGGGGGCGTGGTATCCAAAATCTGTAAATTACAAAATCTTTGTATCCATTAACTTTATATACAACGCAAATTTGAAGTCTCCAGGTCTAAAAGTGTTCAAAATAAGCTGAAAAAACATTGTCGATTTTTCGATTATTCTCGATAAAAAAGTTATCGGATGAGTTATCGAAAAAATAAAGCAAACTTGTACTGCCTATGGTATACACGAGTATGCTTGCCAAATTTCAGCTCTCTAGCTCTTATATCTTCTGAGATCCTTTTGCTCATACGGACGGACGGACGGACGGACGGACGGACGGACGGACGGACGGACGGACGGACAGACGGACAGGGCTATATCGACTCAGCTCGTCGTCCTGATCAAGAATATATATACTTTATGGGGTCTGCGATGATTCCTTCTGCCTGTTACATACTTTTCACAAAACCATTATACCCTGATTTCCCATTTTCAATGGGTTCAGGGTATAAAAATCGAACTAGTTCTTTTAAAATCCGATAACGAAAGTTCGCTTGCGCAGCTCTGAAATATGTTCGTGCCTTGCTCAGCATCAAACAATCTAGTAGTCTGCGTGGTTGATGTCACACNTCTGTAGATTGCAAAGTCTTTGTATCCATAAACTTTATATACAACGCAAATTTGAAATCTCCAGGTCTAAAAGTGTTCAAATTAGGCTGAAAAACAATGTCGATTTTTCGATTATTCTCGATAAAAAAGTTATTGGACGAGTTATCGAAAAAATAAGATAAACTTGTTCTGCCTATGGTATACACGAGTATGCATGCCAAATTTCAGCTCTCTAGCTCTTATATCTTCTGAGATCCTTTTGCTCATACGGACGGACGGACGGACGGACGGACGGACGGACGGACGGACGGACGGACGGACAGACGGACAGGGCTATATCGACTCAGCTCGTCGTCCTGATCAAGAATATATATACTTTATGGGGTCTGCGATGATTCCTTCTGCCTGTTACATACTTTTCACAAAACCATTATACCCTGATTTCCCATTTTCAATGGGTTCAGGGTATAAAAATCGGGAGAAAAATTGGGATTTAAGAAAAGAAAAATCAATATTTTTACAACTGTTTTACGCAAGTGCTGAACACGACTGCTTAATACTCTACTACATTATATGTAGGAAATGTTGATTACTCGAATAAGCCTGGTGGAAAAACCAAAGGATCTAGCAATGGACGGACGATATATAGACGATTATGGATTGCTTCATGGACGAGTGGGTAGAGGGAAGCTAGTTGGAAGAATGGAAGCTTAAATAGATGAAAACTGCTCGATTAATAAACAGATGGATAAGTAGATGAATAAACACGAGGAAAGACTGCAGGCGAAAGCTAATAAAGCAACTGAAAGACGAACGAAGGAATCAAAAAGAAAAGAGAAAACTAATGTACTCATGTAAAAAAAGCGTATACAGTCAAGATGGCGAATATACATGCATACGCACATACATATATATGCCCAACTACACAGACACACACACACACGCATAGCCCCCACACAGTCACAGTCACAGTCACACCTTGACGCACATTTGATATGCGAGGCACGCAGCCAGGACAACGCCAGCTCTGCGCCCATATATCCTTTTTCAACGAAAATTTCAGCTTTCACTTGGCTGCGCGTACGTGACGCCGTTTGCCGCAAAGGAGCTGTTGAAGTGCCAAATTTGCACAGCCACGCCAGATAGAGGAGGGGGCGGGGCGGGCGGGTGGTGGCACAGGCAAATACAGGTGGGCGTGTTGTGTATTGGTGTGTGTGTGTGTGTGTGAGGGGGGTAAAAAGTAGCAGTTTATTAGGCGCACCAAATTAACATAGGACTACTAATGTTCTTTCGGCCACCTAACCTAGCGCAGCTCAGCCAGAAACGTTTCGGCTGGCGAATTTCATTAGAGTGCAGAGTCCCGTTTGTTATTGTTCTTTTTTTTCTAAAATTACAACGCCTGCGCGAATTTATTTGATTTGCCTTTTTTTTTGTGCACTTTTTTTTCTCATCTTTTCACCTAGTGTGCCTGTGAAGCCCCTCTCGGCTGGATGCTGGAAAAACGAAGGGGAAATTGTGCGTCCATTGTTGGCTTTTCTTGCCCCCCATTCGTTTTCCTCTTTTGGTATATTTAGTTAGTATCCCCAAGGAAATCAAAGAAAAATGTATGAACGTTGAGAAAGTTGCTTTAATATTTATATTATATGTGGGTGTGTACATGTATGTATGCACTCCTTTTATATGTATGTATGTGTTCATAATTCCCCTTACAACATTCAAGCGCTAAAGTGTTACACACAGACAATCATACAAATGAGAGGGGTAGTTGTGCTAGGTGGCTGCAAAGAGAGAGGGAGAGAGAGGGGGAGGTAGGATGAGGCAGACACAGGAGTGGAGTGCTCATCACTGCATATACACATATATATATATACTTATATATGTATGTATATATGTACTTGACAATCAGGCCGCAAGCATATGTTACCCGATAATTTGCCGAAAGTTTTAATGAAAGACATGGGACTCATTTCTCGTGCTGTCTCCACTGCGGGCAATGCTCTGTCTCCCTCCCACGCACAGTCACTCTAATTCTTTCTCTGTCTAGCATACACTCTGTGCGCTTCTCAGCTTTTGTCGCCATTTTGTGTGCTGCTTCGTGTTGAAGCAACATTTTTGATGAGCTTCAGCAAAAGTTTATATCTGTGTGCGCATATTTGTGCGTGTGTGTGTTTGTGTGTGTGTGTGTGTGTGTAGAGGGTTGCCTTTTATATAATTTTCATTTTTCATTTTATATAAATGACAATTGCCTGAGTTGAGTTGAGTTGAACTGAGTCCTGCTCGTCCTGTTCGTCCTGCTCGTCCTGTTCGTTCTGCTGCAGGCAACTGTAATCACACCATATCTGTTGAAAGTTTATTATAATGCTCTGCATATATTTGCCATGCAAAATGTTGTAAGCGCTAAACATGAACATGAAGTTACAACAATATGCTAACTTTCTTGGCTCGCTCTGTTGGCCAAGATGTGTTGATGCCAAATATCTAACTCAAATTTGGGGGAGTGATGCCATTTAACTTTTGTATTCAAATAGTAAAGCTTCAATAGTTGGGGCTT